GGGGTCTGGGTGGATGACGGCTTGGCTGTCGCGCTGGGACGATGGCTGGAGATCCAGGTTGACGAGCCGGAGACCCATGGGTTCGGGATGCCCGAGGAGTGGCCGGGGGAGACGCCGGTGGGGGCAGGGCCCGGGATCAAGCCGACGGTGGTGGAGTGGCCGGAGGTGCCGGTGCTGAAGGTCACCTGGGGCACGGTCACCGTGTAGGTGGAGTAGGTGATGGTCGTGCGAGGAACCTCTGGACCGGCGGTTGGCTGCGGTGCCACACTGGTGCCGGTCACAGGGGCAACACCTGTCGGGCGAGGAGTGGGGATCAGAGTGATGGTGCTCGGAATGCCAGTGACAATGCCGGGGTTTCCGGGGATATAGGGAGCGCAGATACCGGTGAAGTAGGAGAGCGCGGACTGGATCTCTTCTTTGGATGCGCCCCAGGCCTGAATACAGCTGATGACCTTGTCTGTGAACTCGTGGCTCGGGCAGAAACAGCCGGGGTCCGCGTTGGAAGTACACTTGGGCAGAAGAGGGAGCCAGGTGTTGATACACTTGGGCACCGAGTTAGGGCACTCAGTTGATGGAGCGGGTGAAGAGGGAGCAGGAGCAGGGGGGACATCAGTGGGCTTCACGGCAGCGCTGGAAGTCTTGGTCACCGTCGAGACGGTAGTGAAGACAGACGTCGTGGTGGAGCCACCGGAGGTGATGGTAGTAGTAACAGGGCACGTAGTCACGGTTTCGTAGGTGACGACCGTCGTGGCACCCCCGGCAGGAGTGCTAATAGGCTCGACTCCGGTAGGAGCCGGAGTAGCAGAGCACTTGGTGCACACCGTGGAGATCGAAGTCAGCGTGACAGTTGACTGGGTCGTGTAGACGGAAGTGGTCTCGGTGCCACCGGCGGTAGCAGTGGTAGTTACTGGGCAGTCGGTCACGGTGGTATATGTAACGACGGTCGTGGTGGAATCCTCTGGAGGCTCCTCCGGGGAAACGCCTGTCGGTGTAGGAGAGGTTCCGGTTGGAGTGCCGGTAGGTTTGCCAGTAGGAGTAGCAGTGCACTTGGTGCAAATGGTGGATGTCGAGGTAAGGGTGACCGTGGACACCGTGCTGTAGACGGAAGTCGTGGTGACGCCGCCAGAAGTAGCGGTGGTAGTCACTGGACAAGTGGTCAGGGTTTCCCATGTCACCACAGTGGTAGTTGAATCTGGAGGGAGGGAAGAAGATCCACCATGGCTAGTTGGGTGAACTTCCGACGAAGTACCAGCAGTACCTGTGGGAGCGGGGCTGCTCGGAGAGGGAACCTCGGAGGAACCGCCAACAGGGGAGCTTCCAGTAGGCTTTCCAGGGGTTCCAGTGGGCTGCCCGGGGGTTTCAGTAGGCTTCGTGGGAGTTTCGGTCGAGGTAACCGGGCAGACAGTGGTCGAGACAGCAATGGTGGACGTAACAACCGTGGTCGAATCTCCAGGGCAGTTGGTAACGGTCGGTGCACAACTCGTGATGGTGATCAGGCTTGTAGTATACACGGTCGAGGTGGTCATCTTGACGGGAGTGCTAGGAGCCGGAGGCGTGACTGCATCGGACGAGGACGGGACTGGAATCACTGGAGTAGACGAGTGTCCCGTCGCAGTCGGACTTGTATGGTGATGAGAGGGGGTCGGAGTTTTCTGGCCAGCGGAGCATTCGAACTCGACATTCTGGATACCGAAGACGACAGCATCCACGGAGGCCTCCTCTGCGAGTTCGAACCGGACGGAGCTGGCACCACCGCACTGGTCGTTGGCGACGACAGTTCCCTTCGGAGAGCATGGGGCGACATGCTTGCAGGAAGAACCATCGGGCATGTCATAGATGATCTTGATCTCAGCCTCCTCGCCGGTCACCAGGTGAAGTTTGCTGATGGAGAAGGTCTTATCACTGCCAGACGAGATCTCCGGGGACGTCTCATCGTCCTTGGAGAGTTTCGACTCGATGCATTGGCCCTGTAACCGTCAGTATGGACATCATTGTATCCGCCGGTCCGTGCCCACTTACGGCAAAGCCACCACCAACAGCAGCACTGAAGCTGCTGCTGAAAGAGAACCCAGAGAATGCGAAGCCAGCGAAGAAGTCAAAGGAACCAGCGGTGAGGCCAGCCCAGTTGAATCCGCCGCGCATCTCGTCAGAGCATTCATTATTGGTATTATCCGGGCTAGTATAGCAATCATCTGTGCCCCACCACTAGAGAATCATCAGTCTGGGATCAACGAGTCTCTTCATGCATGAACACTTACGGCGCCCGAGGGATGAGCCTGGGCCACGGCCAGGAGAGAGACGAGTGCAACTGAAGTAGCAACCTTCATGGCTACTGAGGTCACCAGCCAGTGATGGAACGAACGGAGGTAAAATCAAGACGAAAGTAGTAAGCAGTAGTAGTGGTATAGTTCAGTATTATTATTCTCGACCAGCAATAACAACAACACCGTAACAATGAGAGAACGAAAGACGGGCCAGCAGGTGAACCCCGAGATGAACGAGTGGATTGAGTCAAAGAGATGCAATAGTACAACAAGGGCCAAAAGAGAGAAAAGGAAAAAAGAAAGGTGAACAGATGGAAACAGAAGGGTTCCAGGGTCTCCGGAGGGGCTTCGACTACTACTTATTATAAACCGGTCAAGGTTTCATTTGGCGTGTCTGATATTTTTCCTTTTTCCTTTTTTCCTTTTTTCTTTTCTTTTTCGCTGGACCCTATTTTTTATTCGGTCATGCATGAATAATTCTTTTTGGCCTTACTCTAGTCACGGACTGTGACGGCTACTGGTCGTCCATTATTCCTGAATATTATTTTTATTTTTTCTTGTCCGACAACAATGACCCTAAAAGTATAGCTGAACAACCAATCGTCGACTGCCGCGCTGTCCCACTAGTGCAGGTACCTGACCCACTCCTCCAATCACGGCGCCCCCACCAGGCTGCATTATTTCCACATGTCCTACACATTGCAAATGGGAGAGCGAAAATATGCGCCTGGATCACGAATTAAGATTCTTCATCCTCTGCAGAACGGAGAGCAAGTACCGATATGCGGGAGTTCAAGTCTTCAGACGAACAGGTGTGAGGATCAGAGCTAGTCGAGCCTATGGGGAAGGAAAACGGCGATGATCGCTCAAACAGCCGCCGGATCGGCAGAGGGTCCTTCCTCTCAGGGCGGACTAAAGAGTAGAATCAGAACAAGACAATCCAACAACAACACAAGCAGGAAAACGGTGGTGGCGAACCGCTGTGTCCCAGTCCAGAATCAAATCGAAATTGCGCTCCATCCCCAGGAGGGAATGATGTAAAATATGCAATTTGATAGATCGAAGGTTCCGTGGAGAGACACAAAGCCACCTCGAAGGGGGGAACAATCACCCCGCACGCAGTATCAGAGAATAATATCGTTGCATCAGTATCGAGGGTTCACAGTAGGGCCAGAAGGGGCGACTGTCACTCCACAGGGCGTCTCGCTTGAAACTCAGCCAGTGTGAGAGGGTCCCCGAAGCCTCTAATTTCACGGGAACTAATTATAGGGTTCTCGATTCTTTGACCGAATTTCCTGGCATGGATCTCACCACGCACCCTGTTCCCTTCCCCCCAGCGTCGATTAACCGCCGGACCGGATCACCAACCGCCCGAACCCATCATTTTACCCGATTAACTCTTTCACGCTCGACAATTAAACTTCAATAGGGTAGACACAGCGAGGCGCAGATAATGAGAAAAGTAGCTCCGAAGACGACAAACAAAACCGGATCTCGCACTCCAGGGAGCTCTTTACCTCACGACTGAGCACCTCCCCCATTCAGCATAGGGTGCGAACGAATCAGATGATCACTGCATCAGCCACAAGTGGTTTTGCGACCTATCATTTCTTCTCGCCTAGAATGGGGAAGCATGGTGAAACCAGCTGGGAACCTTTTTTCTTTTTTTTCTTTCTTCTTTCTTTTTCCGTTTGATCAAGGGAAAAATGGTCTCGACCGAGGAAATACCGTCCCTCCTGAGGGGCCATACCCTGCCATGAGGTAAGGCGCCACATCGGTTATGCTCCGACAGCATAGCACACATCATGGAATGCGAGTACTCTCGGTGCACCTTTGGCGTGGGAAAAATCGAGGGTGCTTGCTTGGCATGTCGCACGATGCTCAACGGATCCATGGGTTGCATCCTCAGCCGAGACAAAGTGCGGTGGCTTGCATGGAGTGGTATCTTGTCTGGCTCTCCTCCCATGAGAAGGCCAGGGCACGATCCAATGGCATGAACTACTCACAAGATGTCGTACCAACTTGTCTTAGCTCTCTTGTTTTGACGTAGCAGAGCCTTCTTCCGCGGGCCTCCGTTGTTTGAAGCCACAATGTTACCCTCCACCTCCCGAGGATCAAATCATCATTTCCTTGCTGCCTACGAAACGATCCGTTACGCTTTCTCCTTCAGTTTTGGTTTAAACTTTTTTTTCACATTGATAAAAATATTATGTACGCGAGGTTTGTAACATGACAAACCTAGAACAAAGAAAATAAAAGGGGAGACACATCAACAGATCCGAGTAAACAAGAGCCATATATCCCCTTCGCCAAATATAGCATCACCACCGACTCCAATAGGAAAATCGCGTAAACTTTTGGCCATCGGAATCTTCAAACTCCATCACCAGCTTTTCCTCAACCGAAATGAATTTCCTCACAGAAAGCCTCCTATACACACAGACCGGTCCTAATCAATCAATCAAACCTTGGTCTAGATGCCCGCTTCATCCAAAGGAAAAAACAAACAGCCGTCGAACCTTTTATCAGCTGAAACGGAGCCGAAATCCTGGCCCCTGACGGGGAGGTCTATGCCGCTAACACAGACTCGGTAAGGTTTGGGAACAAAAAGAAGAAATGATAGCTCTGCCGTGACAACGTGCCAGTAAATCCGAGACATAAGTGGTCATAACAGTGATGGGTATCGCAAGAGTAAGAGAGGCACGCCTTTACATTAACATGTCTGCTGGGAAATTCCTAGAAAGGAAGTTGACCCCGACGGTGGGCATCCATCAGCTTCCGTCGGACCGCCTCGCCGCCATTGTAACCGCTCGCTTTGCGTTTCCGCGTAGGCGTGCGTTGATCCGCATGTTTTGCATGTCTAAAGACACTGGCCGGTCGAGACGGTGAATTTGCCGGCATGAACTCCCGGTGTTGTGGGAGGCGTAGCAGTGCCTGGTACCGATTGTGATTACGACGGAAAGCCGTCACAATACCACGGTCCAGGTGGTTCAGGAAACGCTCCGCACTGTTCGTTTGTGTATCCCCACTTCGATTAGGGGTTGGTGTACCGACAGCAACTGGGATGGTGGGTGCTGCCATCGGCGAGGCCAGTGCATCATCGTCGAATTCCTTGTCCATATCGTCATCGGATGAGCCATTACCAAAGTCAATGAAATCATCGACGTTCAAAGCAGCCTCTGGGTCATCCTCTTCGTCATCCTCAAATGAACTATCAATGGCAAAGTCACGAGACGGATAAAAGGCCTCGGGAGGACCCATGACTTGACCACCGGTGGTAACCTCATTTCCAAGGGCCGTCATCATGAGGTTGGCGCTAGAAGCCAACATTGGGCTTAGGTCAACGTGATTCGGTGATGCAAGCGCATCTGTGTCACTCTCATCAACGAGGTGCATTGTGGTTGCCCGCGGGCTATTATTAGCCGTGCCACAGATGCTATTTGTGGCAGACTCAAGCCAGTCATGGCGAGAGGAGGCATATGCAGGAATAATCACCAGATGCTTGCCCGTGCAGTCCACGAGTGCAACAGGCTTGTGGGGATCAGCAACGAAGGTTCCCATGATGGGACCTCGCCGACGGGAAGTAGAATCATTCGTCTCTTCAGCAGTGGTAGCTTGGAGAGAAGCGGAGGAGTCGCGGCGTAGGATAGAGCGAGGATGGGTAATTGTTGCTGGCGGGGGAAGGTCTTCATCTGTAGTCTCGCCATCATCGGCTTCAAGTTGGTCAGTACAGGGTAAAGTTCAATTTCCGTAGGTGTCTGCATACTCTCGTATCCGCTTGACTCCGATTCCTCGGAGACAGCATCCGACTCAACGTGATAAATGTTTGAATGACCATAGTCGGACTCCGCGAACAGTTCATCGGACTGCCGACGGCGCTTGTTGTAGGTCTCATTGTCATTCTCAATCATGCGACGTAGTTGAGGATCAAGGCTGTCCTGCTGGAGGAAGTCACTCGGGATTTCATCCTCAGTATGGGAATCGCTCTCAGACGATGAATCCGAGTCTTCCTCAAAATGCACCCGGCGGGGAACCGGTGTTTCTACGGCTGTTTCACTGGCCATGTCGGTCTCCCCGAAGGCTTCCATGGCGGTGTAGAGCTGCTCTTCATCGAAGAAGGACGCAGCTGAAAGTAGCATGTGGTCATCAAACACATTGGGGCCCGCCCAATCGTGGGAGTTGGCGACGCTGACGGTAGAGGTTGTCAAGATACCATTGAAATCATGCTCATCCTCTGACTCCACGATCAACAGTTCTTCCAACTTTTCTACATCATGATCTTCATCATCGTCTCCATCGCTAATGTAGTCAACTGCCGCGTAAACATCATCGGAGCTATCTTCCGAGTCATTATCGCCACTGCTCTTTTGGCCATCGTAGCCGTCATCGTCCGATAACCTCATCTTTTTCGTTCTTTTTGTTGATTTCATTCCCGCCTTATGAGTCTTGTCACGACGGCCATAAGACGGGCCACGGACAGCAGGTGGGTCCTCTTCGTCATCAGCATCTGACTCGTTTACATCATCGCTGAGCTCTACAGACGAGACCGACGACACGCTGGAGACGGACGAGGAAGCCCTCCGTTTCCTGTCAGCTGCCAGTGACCCAAGGGAAATTGCCTTGTTTGATATTCTTGGAGAGTGTTGTCCGATGCGGGACATGGGACTCGAGTTGCGATGACGGTTCTCCCTGCCGGCATCCTTCGAAGACCGCTTGGGGGAGTAGGCGGTTGGTGACATTGCGTCGACAATGGTATTGTTTAGAAGTGATAATTGATCAAAGTACGGTTCAGTATGGACCCAAATTGGTTTGGGGTACCTCGGGTTGGCAAAGTTTTGTTACCCGTTTGCTACCCGTTTGCAAGCCGCAGTGTATTGCGTCAGAGACTCCGTAGTGGGTATAAGCGGATGATCAAGGCAAGTTTGTTGTTTTTCTTGGCCGTCAATTCGTTATAACGTTGGAAAGGGCCGGGGAATGTTCGTTATCGTTTGATAAAGGTGAAGGATAGGTGGTGGAAGGTCAGGAGTCGGAAGAGAAGAGGGGGGGAGGGCTTGTATCAGAACAAGAGAGAAGAACTTTTCGAGCGTGAAAGCACCTCACCGTCCACCGCGGACGTAATGTGCTTCTTCTGTAACTGTACTTGGGGGCAATTTCGACGCTGCAAGACTTTGCGTCGAAAGAGAAAACAAATATCGTCAAGTCGATTGAGGAAACTCGGAGCTGCTGGACTGGGGAGCAGGAAAAAGACTGTCGTGCCCCCCAGTGAGGAATCTACAGCTCAACGAAGGCCATTTTGGCAACGAACTTATGACGATATTTGTTGGTAAGGACAGTGAAAAGAATTTCTATAGCGTGTAAAAAGGAGGGGAATCTGCGACGTTGGGATGGCAGATCGAATGAGGGGTGGATTGGGATGTTTGGGAGAAGAAAAGGCCGGGAGAAAGAGAAGGGAGACAGAAGATCAGCTAGCGGACTGTACCACCGCCGTCACTGGTCCGTTACAAGACGGAACGCACTTGGGGATGGGGCGGGCCAATTTTCCAATCATGGTGGGGCTTGCATCACCCGGTCGCAGTATTGTCATCCTTGATTGGCCAGGAACCACTAAAGCATGCATTGTCATTGGTCGGCAGGTGTTCACCGCATC